TATTTTATTTTATTTTATTTTTAACTTGGCAGCTATTTCTCTAGATTTAATCGCTTTACTCTCCTCCGGATGGGGAAACCCACAAGACATATGTATTTCCTAGGCAGACTGAGATTGTTTTTATTTCTCTTTATGTGCATGGTAGTATCCTTTCTTCATTCGAAAGTTGATTCTACTAGGTTATGACCTTTTGGGGTCAGAGACCTCATGGTATTCATTCCGAATAACCCTATGAGCAACTTTCCCCGAGGCCACAGTGCCGAGCCCCGGGGCCTCTCTTCACAGCACTGTCTGCAATGCACAACCACATGCAGTGGCCCTAACACACAGCAGGTGAGCATAACGCATGGAACTCTTCACCTCACTAATGAATACCGGGTCTTGATGGTCACTGCCTCAATGGAAGAAGGGGCAAGTTGTGGTCAGGCGAGGTTCACGGGGGCTGTCTGGAGTACTAGAATGGTCCTGAATGTTTGCTTTACAACCACCTATTAAACTGTATTTGGATGCTGTATGCCCTGTTCTGTACCTATATTTCACTATTTAAAACTAAAAGAGTCCAGGGGCACCTGGGTGGCTCAGTCGGTTACGTGTCCGACTTCGGCTCAGGTCATGGTCTCACAATTTGTGAGTTCGAGCCCCGCATCGGGCTCTGTGCTGACAGCTCAGAGCCTGGAGCCTGCTTCAGATTCTGTGTTTCCCTCTCTCTCTGCCCCTCCCCTGCTTGCATTCTGTCTGTCTGTCTCTCTCTCTCAAAAATAAATAAAAATTAAAAATAAAATAAAATAAAATAGTCCACCTTGAGGGTATTATGCTATGTGAAATACGCCCAACACAAAAGGGTAAATACTACATGATTCCACTTATATTAGATATTTAACATAGTCAAATTCATAGAGAAAGAAATAACGGTGATTGCCAGGGGGCGCAGGGAGGTGGGGAGTACGGAGTTAGTGTTGAGTAGGTATAGACTTGCAGTTTGGGAAGATGAAAAAGTTCTGGCAATGGGTGGTGATGGTTGCATAACAATGTGAATGAACTCAATGCCACTGAACTGGACACTTACAAATCGTTAATATGGTAAATTTCATGTCATGTGTATTTTACCATATTTTTTAAAAAAGGGGGAGTCCACCTTCTCCACCCTTCCCTTGTAGAATATGTCTCCAAGTTCCACTCTAAGCCTGGATGTCCTGAGAAACAGCACCTCCCAAGGTGGGACTTATAGTCTTGAGCCCTTGGGAGTTCCCCTGCTTCTTCCTTTTCCCTGATGAAATAAAGGCGGTGGTGGCCGTGCCTCGAGAGCTTGCTGCTAGAGGACAACTGTCAGACATTATTAATGTGTACTCAGGAGATGGTTTAAGAATTACTGAAATGAGGTTTAGGAGGTATTTTTTTCTTTCAGTGATAAAATGTGCAAGTATGGATAAGTCAGTGTATCTTAAGGCAGGGAGAGAGATGTTTTAGCAGTGGGAATGGGCTTAATATCTCCGACGAAGGAGTTGGCTGTGGAGAAGAACAAAAGAACATGAATTCTGCCCAGCCAGATTAGGCTGGGCATGGCATGATTACCCTCTTGGCTATACTGGGTCAGCCCTTATCAAAGTAATCCTTTGCCTTCTGGCATGCCAATGAGAAAATCACCTTCCCTCAACAGCAGCAATAAAATGAGAAGAAAGGTCTCACTATCACTCATACTGAGTCAGTGAAAGTGAAGGCACAAGAAGAAAGTTGATACGTCCCTCCAGTCAGGAGAGCCTTCCCTAAACTCCTGCTGGATATCTGAAAATGCCTCCGTGAAAGACACGGTGATTCTCAGGTATCTTCTTTTAGATCAAGCTCTCAGTTGGCTAGGAAAACAATAAATATAGACTGTTGAGGGGCAAACAAGTCAGTACATGGAGGTTCACTGCCATCTTTTCTTGAAATCTCATTCACCTTAAATCACAAGCCAATTAAGAAGGCTATCATATAGCAAACATTCTTTTAGGAAAACTCAATTCCTTCTCCTAGGGCACTCCTGAGGTGAAATAGTATCAAATGACAATGAAGAAATGCCTATAGGACATTTCCAGCATGTGACAAATATGGGAGGCTCTTAGACAAGGGATCCACAGAGATAACCACTGCCCACTGGTTGAGCCCCTATCCCTACTTTGTTTTGGAGGCTGACCAGCTGGGAGAGGGCCTTTCTCAGTACCAGAAACTACCATTTGCGTTGAAAGGAAGACGTTTGGAGAATTCACCTGTTTGGATATAAAAGTTCGAAAAATCCAATGGGATTTGTGGCTGACAAAAGGTCAACTATTCATGAAGGCCAAGGAGTCAAGACTATAAGGACTTGGTATTTCAGGAGACAGAGTCTAGTAAGGTAGAAAAGACCTGGGCTTTAGAGTTATAAATTACCATCCTTGTTTCTCTCCTGGTATGGGTGTTTTTCCCTTGGTTATTCCAAAGCCATTTCATGTTGACATTGTGTAGTGTTTAGCTTAGGTGGCCCAGAGACCTTGATTTGAATACTGGATGTACTACTCCCCTGAAGCATGAACTTAGATAAATTCTGAACCTCGCCGCGCTTCATCTATAAGAAGAGGTTGATGATGGGCTACCTTCACAGGATTGTTAGGAAGACCACGTGAGAAGTACGTGTCCAAGTGCATGGACCATAGGACAGTTTCCATCAAAAAGGAATTATCCCTCTCATGTGAATAA